GAGGGGTGAAGCCGTGCTTGTCAGCGTGCTGGGATTTTCAGGAAAAAAAAATGAAACACGGGTCACTACGAACAAGAAGTGGCAACTCACCATTCACATCTACGCCCTGAAACGTACTTTCAGGCTTGGGAGTCGGCTCCTCCAGTATCCCACCATCAACACAGGGCAGCACTCGGTGATTCGATGTCGTCCCAGGCTCAGTCCTTGCAGAGGGCTCAGACTGAGGCCTCCGGCTCTCCTCTTTTTTATACCCAAAGTCCTTGTACACAGTCTTCCTCAACTTGGCAGGAATCTCCGATTCCTCCTCCTCCTCAGATCCACAAACCGAAATAAACTCTTCACTTCCAGAAAAAAGCTCCGACTCGGACTCTTCGTCTGATTGACTCTCCTGCTTGGCCTGTGAGGAATCAAAATGTGTCTCCTGTAATGAAGCTCTGATAGCAGCTTCCAACTGGCTGTCCTCGCTGGCATCAATGAGACTCTCCTGTTGAACGCAGAACACAAAGACATAAAAATTGTTTTTAAACACGTACTGAAAATCAAGAGGACATCAGTCTTCCAAAGAGAAGCCACTAAAACCGTCAGGAACAAACAGCATGGAAAGCTCATCATGCTCTGACTGCTTCATGACTTCTCTTCTGGACTTTCACATGGAGGGAGATATTTTCTTTCCACACACACATCACTCCATGACTGCTAAATCCAAAAGAAATGTCAAAAGACACAAACTGCACAACAAAACCAGCTATCGTGGGAGAAGGCACTCCCTGGTGCACCGTATTTTTGCACGCTCTTGCACTGACTCATTAAATCTGCTTATGCTACTGAATGGGAAATCAGTACAGCTGGAGAAGGACAGGACAGCATTTTCTTTCCAGTTTCTCCAGCCCTCCTAGAGGACTTCATACTTACTGAACGAGAGCATTTTTGGGGAGGGCCAGTAGAATGGCCATCCAGCTGTCCGTGCTCACTCAGGAACCCAGTCAGTTGATCCAAGAAAGAAGTCACGTCTAGCTGGTGCCACTCCACGAGTTTCTGGCCTACAGACCAAAAGGCGCCACAAAACATAATTTCAGCAAAAGGTTGCACTTTAGTGGTCAAACACACGAATTCATTGCTGTGTGGGCACTCTGCAAAAGCCCACATTGTGGAACTGCAGCTTCCTACAGGCTACCACCTGGTAAATCCAAAGCTTTCCCCTTCCATCCCCTTGAAAAGGTTCCAGTCAAGTACAGATATCAATACAGACCCTGTTTATTTGTGTTATTTTTCTTTTTATCTATAGGAATGTGTGCACGGAACGGTGAACTAGACATCAAAACAAAAAAAAGGCAAATCACTAAGTTTATGAAATAGCATTTCTACATTCTTGCCTGCTTTGATTTTACACCCTGGAAAACAGCATTTGTTTCTGTAAGTAGAGTGCTGAGAAGGGTACTCTAGCTTCAGTTCCAACATTAAAAAAAAATAAATGGTTTTGGGTGGCTTCAGAATAGCAAAGCAAGGTAGAAATATCAAGAAATCTCAAAAAAGAAAAATCAAGAACAAAATAGCAAGAAATCCCAGCTCTCACTACAGACACAATTACCTCAGTCCTTAGAAGCAGGAGACCAGACAACTGCTATAGTGGCATCATATGATGATAAAAGAACAAAGAGTGTTGAAATACAAAAGAAAAAGTCACAATTTGAAAAGAGCTGGAGGGGGATATAGGTGTTTGATTGTTCAGTTGAAAAAAAACAATAAACCCACCGCCAAAAACAGTATTTCGAAATTAAGATTTAATTGAATAAGTCATCTCTGAGCCTCACGAAGCGACTGTGCAAGGAGCAGGAAGCAGATTCCTGCAATGCTGACAAATATTGTGTGATTTCAAGCAGCTTTTAAAAGGACACTTAAAAGAAGGCTCATTTCAGAGTTTTACCACCAGGTGGTACTACCTTCACTTGCCAAGCAAAATACTCGCTAAGCGAGAACCAAATAGGCAAAATCTCAGCAAATCTTCCGAGTTTTATCCCCCTAGATCCTCCAAAACATATCGCTCCACTTCTTCAGGGCCAACAAGGTCTCTCAGAGAGCAGAACAATGTAACTGGGATTCTCCAGGTGAATATAACACATACTGTGACACAGGTTGCCCAGAGAAGCTGTGGCTGCCCCATCCCTGGCAGCGTCCAAGGCCAGGTTGGATGAGGCTTTGGGCAACCTGGTGTAGTGGAGGGTGTCCCTGCCCATGGCAGGGGGGTTGGAACTGGATGATCTTTGAGGTCCCTTCCAACCCAAACCATTCCATGATTCTATAGTTCTATGATTCTATGACAGTATTTTAGCCTAAAACTACCAGTCCTTCTCACTGGATATATCACCTGCAGGTAACCAACTGGCAATTATCTTACCTGTCCTGGGGTCCAGGATGGAGACGTAAGGGAAGTCTGCTAATTTATAGAACTGTATGTACCTCTGTCCTTCCTCACTGTCATGGTATACCTAGAAAACAGCACATTTGGAAGCAAATTACTGGCTGGAGAGGGAACACAAACAAACTGTACCTTGGCAATGGACAGTTTTTCTCTATTTGACAGTATGCCCTACAAATGGTACGTACAGCTCTCAGGAACTCTGACAAAGTGAAAATACACCTCTAAGAGTCCATATCTTAGAAGCTAGGTGGTAACATTTTGAATGCACAAGTGAAAGGCAGTTTGTGCATTCAAATGCACATCCATGAACTACATCTACACCCATAAACCACATCTCCATCAACTACTGCATCTTTTTTGCAAGTTCACCAAGAGAACTTGGCAACAGTGCCATTTTATTCAAAGAAATGTGGGGTTTTTTTGTTTTTTTTTTTTTTTCACTGTCTCATCTACCAGGACACCAAGTTCCCAGCACGGCCCCCTTAAATTTCTCACCTGCCAAAAAATGAAATGTTCCCGGATTATGTTCTTCACAGTCTTATTGCTCCAGACATCACGGTTGAGACACTGACAGGCAAAATCTTGCACATTCTGAATGTTTATCATGAGCCATTTGTTCTGCATCTGACCACACTCCTTGGCCTGTAAGCAGAGAGAAAAGCTTCATTAATAAAACTGAAGAGCCAGACACAACCAACGCCAGCAATGTCCAGTGATGGCTTAAACCAGATTTTTTTTTTTCCCCAAAACTCCTTCACAGTGAGAAAGATGGACAGTGCTAGTGAAAAGGCACCCACAAAACAGAAGGCAGGGCTGAAAGACCTGCTTTAAACGAGACCAGCTGAATTACAGAACCACATCGATGAACAGAGCTGCTGGATTTCAACAAGCGAAGCACAGAGTGGGAAAAGGAACTTGGGGTGGGGGGCAGACACAGGGACACTGAATAAAGTTTTTTAAAGAGTTTAGTCAACCACGCTGATCTGACAACGGAGGAAAGACCTGCTCATTCGAAAGAAAAACCTGTGGGTCATCTTCTATTTAAGTAGGTTGCATAATGGACAGAGGACTTGTGTTAATTCAACAGGACCCCCTCTCTGCATGCTTTCTTTTTTCTCTCCAGCTTCTGAGTTACTCTATTACTGTGCAACTGCAGAATTAAGCACCCTTTTTGGATGCTCGTAATCCAGACTGCAAGTGGGGAGGAAAACAGGAAAGTGCAGGAAGAAATCTCACTGGTTTGAGTCACAAAGCTGGCATTGCCTGATTGCTTGGTTGCAAGTTAATGGTAGGAGTTTGATTAAGAATGTAATTCTGATTGCTGAACTGTCCTACCTGT